AAAAAATGTGTCCTAAACTGTATTCCCAATGTTGCACTCAAATATAGTAGGACGTGGTGGAGCTGAGGTTACCCAGACTGCTAATTTGGCACCTTGGCTTTGTGCTTTGCTACCAGCTCTGATGACCCACATGGGCAGCGTTCCTGAATCTATCCAGACACAGGGACCTGGGTCTGCCCACAGCTCCACAGCCGTCGTTGTGCTCTTGCTTTTAACAGCGGTTTTTATGGTCATCCCCTCCCCTTGCTGGTTGCAACCTCGTGGTTCCCTCCATACCTTTTTTATCCTCCCACTGGATCAGGAACGGCCACTCCCAGGAGAACTGCAGTGGGAAAATGCCCTGCACTCGGTGGCTTTGAGCGGCTGCAGGACAGGGACGGCTTTTAGCAGCCCCTGCAGACTCATCCCATTGCCTCCTGCTTGGGAAGGACGCAGGGAAACACCAGAGCTCGGAGCAGAGGGCGTTTGAGAGGGAGTCGAGCAGTGTGGATGCTCCCTCCTTGCCCTGTAGCAGCCACCGCGGACACGGATGGGTGGCGGAGGGTACCCACAAGGATGCACCTCCTCGGAGGTCCTCCCAAACCCCTCTATGTGCTTCTACCGGCATCCTAATGAATGAACATGCTGCAATGCACCGGAGCCACCTGCGTGTCACCCGGCTCTCAGTCCCTCCTCTTCCTCGCAGGCCCCCCGGGCGCTTGCGGCCGCAGCAGGTGCCGGGAACAGCGTGTCCCGGGAGGCCGCAGGCCGGGCCCGGAGCGCCGCAGGGGCTGTTTACCTTGGCGGGCCCCCGGCGCCGCCAGATGAGCAGATAGTCCCGCTAACAATGCGGGCCGGGGCGCCAGGAACTCGCGTCCCGCCGCGCTGTCCGCGGGGACCCGCGGGGTCACGTCGCTGTCCCCAGCCGGGCTCCTCGGGGCTGTCCCCAGGACTCGCTCCCAGTCTGGCAGCATCGCAGCGGATGCAGCAGCTTGAGTGCTAGGGAAATCCCACCCGAACCCCTTCGGGCTTGTTTACTTCCAAATTAGCAGCACTGATTTACTTCCAAAGCAGGGTTTTTTTGAGCAAAGATCATGGTTCAGGCGGCGCCGGGAGCTGGGAATGCCCCGGGAAAAGGCAGGAGAGCAGCTGGGGCTCTGCAAGCTCTAAGCCCGCTTTGGCCAGCGGGCATCCTGGCTGCACCCTGGGACTTGAGCCCATGTTCTGAGTCAGCCCAGCTCCTTCCTCTTCCACTTGAGGAAGAGTCAAGCGGGGAGCTGCTCCTCGAGCAAAGCCTTAGTCACAGGGCAAGCGAGCCTTGCTGTTTTGGAGAAGAAAACAGCACCTGGCTTTTGCTCCAAACAAAACAAGACTGGGAGCCTGGTTTACTGGAAACGGTCTGTCCCGGGGCCGGCACTGATAAGGCAGGCTGTAAAATCCCCGGAGGAATTAATAGCTTGGTTATCCTGATAAACTGAGGGTTTCCTGCTGGAAAACGAGTTTGTTGAGCTGCTCACAGATAGAAAGCAGCCAGCGGAGATAGGTGGGGTGTGAAAGACATTGGAGCCTCCCTTCTCTTTCCCCTCCAAGAAGTGGTTTCTTAGGGACTGGCTGTAAATCCCAAGCAGGTCAGAAAGGAAATGTTGCTGTAATGGCAGAGCAAGGTGCTGGGCAGCCCCGTCTCCTGGCTGGTTGCGACGTGGGCGCCCGTGATGGTGCCCACTTCCTGCGCGGTGCCTCCTGGCATCACCTCTTATCCCAAGATGACTAATGCATGGTGTTAATCACCGCTGCATTAGCGCGAGCCAGATGTTCTCCAGCACACCTGGCTGTTGTCAGGAAATGTGGAAAATGCCACACGATGGCCCGAAGTGCCAGGGAGGGGAGGAAGAGGATGCTGGCAGCCGTGGGTGGACACGGCCACGCGGTCATCACCGGCTTTTCCTTCCCCCTGCAGGGAATCGGGGCCCACGGGACTGCGGCCCCCCTCCCCCGCCGCACTCCCGCGGTACCGCAAAGCCGGGGAATACTCCGACGCCTCCTTCTCGGAGCACAAGCGCAAGCCGGCATGGATGGGTAAGGAGCCCCCGCCGAATAGTGAGCCCCGCTCCCGCTCCGCAGTGGCCGGAGGTGTCCGGGGTTGGAAAACTAGCAGCTCCTTGGCTGGGAATAGGAGAGCTGGGAAAACCTGGGAGCGCAGTGGGCATCATCAGGGCTGCAGTGCTCCCCCGTGGGGCAGGTTCACAGGCCCGTGGTGGGTCCCCACGGTCCGACCCCACTGTGTCTGCCCTGCAGGTCTCCTGGGCCCCACCATCCGCGCTGAGGTCTACGACACGGTGGTGATCACTTTCAAGAACCTGGCCTCCCGCCCCTACAACCTCCATGCCGTCGGTGTGTCCTACTGGAAGGTGTCGGAGGGTGAGTGGGGCCATGTGGGTGTCCACAACAAGGATGTGAGGAGGGAAGGGGAGCTCCATGTCCCCAGGGCAGGGGGGAACATTCTCCAACGTGACAAGGAACAGCATCACGAGCGAGCAGGTTAAAGCTCAGCTTGGATGCTTAGGTCCAGGAGGAGCACTGAGCAGCAGGCACGTGGCCCCAGGAAGCAGGGCTGGTGACATGGAAGTGCGGTGGTCCCTGGGGAGGGGACATGGAGGCTGTGTTGCTGTGGCAAGACACACCACACCAGGGGATGAAGTTTCAGTAAAACCGGGTTGTTCCTTTGCCTTTAGGGGCAGGGTATGAGGATGAGACCAGCCAGCTGGAGAAGGAAGGGGACAGGGTGGATCCGGGCAAGACGCACACGTACATCTGGGAAATCCAACAAAACCAGGGCCCCACGGATGGTGACTCCCCGTGCTTGACACACTCGTACTCCTCCAACACCGACAGCGTAAAGGACACCAACTCTGGTCTCATCGGAGCCCTGCTTGTGTGCCGGCCTGGTGAGTGGCAGGTCAAGCATGATCATGACTGAAAACAGGGAAAATTAAGACCCCTTCTGGAGGCTGGACATGGCAGAGGGATCAGTAAGCTGTGGTCAACAGCAGCACGTTTGGGGAGCATCTCTTTCCCCCAGAGAGTCCCTTCCCTGCCCCTGAGCAAAATGGCCTTTGGATTTCACTGCTGGAGACAGCCTTGATTCTTCTTCCCTTTACAAGATTTTGGTTAATGTCTTCCGTCTTGCATTGGAATCTTCCCATTAGATGAATTGGTATGGACACACGGGCATCTGTCTATCTTTCCTTCAGAACTTCCCCAGGTTGGGATCATTCAATGCCAGATGGGGCATTTTGCCAAAACGGGTTTTTTGAAGGAATCAAAGGACAGTTTGCACTGGCATGCACAACACATTGCCCAGACCACAGTACCTGGGCCACCTCCTCCCAAGTCCTCTCCTTTGGCCAGTGTGGAGAGGAAGCTTTTTAGTACTCCCTGCGGTGCAATGGAGCAAGACACGGACCTGGGGTGCGATCAGTCACGCCTACCTGAGCTGTCTCCTCTAGATGCTTGTCCAGACCCTCTTTGTGGTCACATCTAGGGCATGAGTCACCTCCTCCCAAGGTGGCCGTCTGCCCTGGCTCGGGTGACTCGCCACGAGCAGTTTCCCCTCTGAGTGGAGAAAGTCTAGACGGCTGATGCACATGATGGTGCTGACAAGGGAGCTAGGACCCTGGGCTGCTCCAGGTGACTAACCATGTCCTGGCAGCCTGTGGGGGCAAAGGCAGGACAAAATGACCTTTTGGTGCCTTCTGGGGCAGCTGCCCCTCAGCCGTGGGCGTTTGGAGTGTGCAGGGGCGGTGACAGTCAATGACACTGGGAGAAGGGACAAAAGGAGAAGGCAAAGCCTGGCCTCGATTTACCTGTTCTTGGGGAAGGAGGTTCCCTGGGGAGATGGGCACAGCACGTGCTGACCTTCAAAGTGATCCCCTTGCGTCTTGCAGGGACCCTGGCGAGTGACGGGACTCAGAATGCACTGCAGGAGTTTGTGATGCTCTTCGCGGTGTTTGATGAAGGTAACTACCCCGAGGGCTGTCACCCTGTGTCAACCCCTGGATTCATCCTGGTCCAGGCCCCAAGGCCCCAAGGCCCGAGCACGGCTGTTCTGCTCCCAAGCTGCCTCCCAAGTGTCCCCGGTGCAGAGAGCTCACAGCCCATCCCTGCTTCCCACTCTGGCCTCATCCCCATTGCACAAGTGGGAGCTGGTGGGGGGTAATGCCCCACTGCGTGGGGTGGTTGCGGCCACGTATACCCATGGCCATGCAGATCTCTAGCAAATACCTTGCATCGCTGCCCTCCTGGGATTTTAGTTTTCAGTCTGTCTTACCCTGGGAGGAAGGTTTTGTAATTCTCTGCAATGTTCCTAAGTGAAAGCTGGTTGCATTCTCCTCTCTCCGCAGGGAAAAGCTGGTACTCGGAGCCCAGCTCCCCAGCAGCCACCCGGCCCCTGGCACATAACAGGACGGAGCTGCACACCATCAACGGCTACATCAACAGCTCCCTGCCTGGTAAGGACCCGTGCACCAGTGAAAGGAGCTGGGAACAGGGATGCAGTGAGGTCTGTAAGCTCAGGGGATCAGGTGGCTTGTGAAAGAATGTGAGAAGGGACATCAGGAAGGCTTTCCAGGTGATGGATGCGTTAGACTGTGCTCACCTCTAGAGGCAATATCATTTATCTGCCTTGCCCACTGAGAATGAAGCTCTCTGAGACAGGATCCATTTCCTCCTTCTGTCTTGCCAGGTGTGGTGGATACCACCCTCCTCCAAGGTGTCCAGAAGTTGCAGGGAGCAAAGAGCTTCCTCCTTTGTGGTCCTATGAGCTAGACTGGAGGTAGAGGGGAGAGGGGAAGATCCAGCACCAACCCCCTGGCTCTGACAGCACACCTCCATGGGGGTTGGAGAGCTGTCACGGAGCAAAAGAAAAGGCCAGTCATGCTCTCATTGACACCTCTGGCAAGGTTTCTGGTATTCTTCTGGGAGAAGGTCCAGAGTTGCCTGGGAGTGAAGAATCTCCAGGGGAAACTGGGAAATATTGTCAGGAGACTCATTACCATCAGCAGCCCTGATGGAGCATGCCCTGAACCCTCCCACCTGGGTCTGACCTTTCTCCAATAATAGGAAAAGCAAAATGCCCCTGAATTCCCAGCCTGGTGGATCCATGGAGATAAAAGGTGAGCAGACCTCTTGGTCAGCCACTCTGGCTCTGAGATATCCCTCACCAAGGCATCCCACCTCCCTCCAGCAACTCCCATCTGGCTCTGAGACCCGTTTTGAAAGGTGTTGAATGAGGAGCTGACTGATGGCCCCAGGAGCGGGGCCTCCACCCTGTCTCCTCCTGGGGTTTTGAGGTTTATTCCACCCACCTATGGTGCTTGGTGCTGCAAGCAAGTGGACGTCTGTATCTGATTTTGTCCCACTTCAGCTTCCAGGAACTTGTTATTCTCTTTCTCACGAGATTACAGAGCCCTTTGGCACACATTAGCTTCTTCCTGGGAAAATGCTTTCACATCATGGTCAAGTTGTCTCCCACTTGCTAAGTAGACTGAGCTCTTTGAATCTCTCCAAGGAAGGAATTTTCTCCAGCCTTGAAATAAATCTATTGACCTCTCTGTGCCCTTTTTTGGATATTTCTACTGAATAAATACTGGAACCCTGCCCTGGATTCAGTGCTTTAATATCAGGCTTGCCAGTGCTGTGACCAGACAAATATTTCCCTTTCCCAGTTCCCTATTCCCTTATTTATAGAGCCAAGGACCATATTTACCCCTTTTGCCACTACATCTTGCAGTGAGTTCACACCATCCTGCTTCCCTCAGTCCCTGCCCAGGGTCCAGGTCCCTCATTCTGCTAATTTGGCCTTATTCCAGCAGGATGAGGGGGCCCTTGGCTCTCTCTCTTGGTCAAACAGTCCCTGTTTACATGTGACGGTGCCTGTCAGTGGGTCTGCCCAAATTTTAGCAGTCGTTGATTTTGTCTTTGCTCCCAGATGACTGCTAGAGCTGGAAAAGCATGAGGTTAGGTCCTCCCTAGGGAAACCTCTGTCTTAAAGGTCCAGAGAAGCTGGATACCTGGGATCACCTATGTCTCTTGAGGTGCATGCACAGCACCAGACGCAGATGCAGTGATCCCCTGCCAGGGACCAGGGCAGGTTTCAGGACCTTAGTCCTTGTGCCACTGAGAGCTGTGACATGGGATGGATGCAGGGCTGATTTGGGGTGCTCTCCTCTGCTGGCAGGTCTCACACTGTGCCTGAAGAAGCAGGTCTACTGGCATGTGATCGGGCTGGGCACCGGGCCAGAAGTGCACTCCATCTTCCTCGAAGGCCACTCATTCTTGGTGAGGAACCACCGTCTCAGCAGCCTGGAAATCTCCCCTGCCACCTATCTCACAGCCCAGACCATGCCAGGAACAACGGGCTGGTTTCGGATGTTCTGCCAGATACCATCCCATCAGCAAGGTAACTTTATTCTGCAAGAGACTGGGGGGAAAATGTTCAGGAGATGGCCTGGGCCCAGGGCTCTGTGCAGTGATGCCACTCCAAGGCCAGTCTTTTTGGCAGAGTTACCACCACATGGAACCTGGACTGAGGTGGCCCTGTTGAGAACACTTGATGGTACATTTGATGGGGAGCAGGACATATCCCAAGCAGAAAGCCTGGGGGGAGTGCAGATAAGTCATTGCAACCCTTTCTGTCTCGCCCAGCTGGCATGGAGGCCTTTGTGAAGGTGGCAGAGTGCCCAGAGGAGCGCCTGTTGAAGATGGGGGAGCCAGATGACACAGAGGACATGGATTATCCTGAAGAAGATGAGGAATTTTCTTATCATGTGATCCAAGTACGCTCTTTTGCCAAGAAGGATCCTGTGACCTGGACTCATTACATTGCAGCTGAGGAAATGGACTGGGACTATGCCCCAGTGAAGCCAGCATCTCTGGACAGGTGAGAGTGAGTTCATGCAGCAACTTGAGGCAACTCTGCCATCCTTCCCTGTTTTTCCTAGAAATCTGTTTTCCTTTCACCTGCCCTGGACAGTTTGGTCCCTTCTCATTAATGCTAAAGCATTAAAGTGATATCTCAGCAGAAGAACCCTAGCCAGCCCTGCGTGGCAAGGATACTTGTCACCAGTCCCGATGTAACTCTGCTAACACAGGCTCTATGGTTTGGGGCTGGCCTGGGAGCAGGTCATAGGGTTCTTTGCCAGATGGAGATTTCAGCTGGACTGGGCTGTGCTTTGCACAAGTTACAGCTTGCATCCACGCTCAGGGTAAGGGAAGGCAAGGTGGGTAGCCAGAAGAGATGTCCTCTGCAGATTGGGGTGGCCTTGCCAGACCTTGGGAGGAGTTGGCTTGATCAAGGGAAAACATCTGCTCTGTTGAGCAACCTGTGCACACCTGGGGTGTTCCCTGACACAGGGACAACCTGCCAGGCTCTCAGCTATCGCAGTCGTCATTTCTCTCCAGGACAGAAGACCGTGAGCCCAAGGCTGCTAGTATACAGCGTAGTTGAGGTTCCTCCCCTAAAGAAGCATTCATGTTTCAAGGGGCTGAGATGTCCTGCTGAGAAGGGAATAGATTTATATTTTGTCTCCATACAGCAGCTGACTGACCCATAGCTTGTCTTCCCTCAGCTTCTGCAAGCCCAGTGAGTGTGACGTAGTGTTATTGACCAGAATCCGTATTGCGATCATGTAGATGGGTGCTCCTGTCTCTGCAGTCCCCAGATAGTTTGGGTCAGCTCTCAGAAGATGGAGGTTCTTGCTCTTGATATGAATGTCATCATGCTGCTTATTGCACCAGTGTCACAGAATCCCACATGTGGCCACTTGTTTTTTCTCTCTATCTTCCCTACAGAAACACCACAAGTCTCTTTCTGGAGGCCGGCCCTCAAAGGATCGGTTCAAAGTATAAGAAAGTCATGTTTGTGGAGTATGAGGATGCAACCTTCAAGCGCAAGATGTCAGCCCAATCAGACAAGGGAATTCTGGGGCCTGTCCTTAAGGGAGAGGTTGGTGACCAGCTTACGGTAAGGGAGACATTATTTTGTGCAAAGACATCCTGGAAGGGGGAACTTCAGATCTTGGTGCTGTTCTTCTAACTCATGTTGAATTCATCAGAGATGCACAGAATTTGGTCCATTGCCCTTGATTTGACTTCATTGGAGGCATCTTAAGAAATGTATGCATTCATCCATGCACCAGGCTATTCAGCACCTTCTTCTAAAATACTAGTATGCTTTATCCTCCACTTTTCCCGCTTTGTGTGTCGTTGCCATGTGGTATTGGAGACTGTTGCTCGTATCTTCCTGTGTCCCCTTATTGACCACTTGACTTGTTTGCTGCTTGGATAAACGGGATGTTTTCCAGCAGCTTTGCCTTTCTGCTCTCTGCCCAGAGTTCTCTATGTGGCTGTGGGCTTGGAGCTGAAGGTAGTGTCTGTGGTGAGGCCCTGACAGAGCTATTTGGGGAAGTAAATAAGGGGAAACACATGGCAAAGTGGAGAGCTCTTTGATGCTCTTGACTGCTGTGTATGCTCAGTGTCTGGGTCCTCTGAGACCTTTTGAGATGAAAGACCTCTTCTGTCTCATACAGAAAGTGAGACTAAATACAGCAGTCTAGCCTTTAATAAATATGCACTCCTCAAATGTGTCTGGAACTGGCACCTCCAGGAAAGACTTGTAGAGAAATAGAGTCATGTCATCTCTTCTGCCCCTTTCCCCTTGGTCCTGGACACATCCAGGTTCATTCCTCCCTGGTCACTGCCAAGCAGCTGCTTGCAGAGGCATCTGCCCAGCACTTTCCTCCCTGCAAGGGTCCCGAGGGAAGCTTCAACGGTTCATGACACTCAGGAAGTGTTAAATGTTTCTCTTGTCTTCCTCATTTCAGATCGTGTTCAAGAATCTGGCAAGCCGGCCTTACAACATCTACCCTCATGGCCTCACCCATGTAGGGCCATACCACGCCATGAGGCCCTCTGAAGGTAAAGCCTTGGGGAGGTCTCATGAGTTTGGGAGGTCAGTTGGCCAACAGGAGAGCATCCTTCAGCCTGTGATGAGACTAGTTAACTCACCCATCTTGACTGCTTAAGACCTGCTATTTCTGGAGATAACACTGGCTCTTGGTTACTGCAATTTTAGTGCTCTGTAGCCCTCTCAAGCCCTCAACATGTGGGCTGTAACCACCCTGGCTGGTCCATCCTCACACTCTTCCTCCCCTGAGCTCCCTCCTGCTCTCTTTAAAGGGGGGTTGTCGTGGTGATTCAGACTCTACCTCTCATGGTACACAGTGGCTTTGGGGTTGCTGAGTTACCACCTCCCCTTCCCAGCACTGCGTTTGTGGCCTGCTCAGAAGCTCCCAGGGACATTCCTTGCACAAGGCCATCCCACATCCCTCTGGCATGCTCCCAAGGATACTGCTTCTGCAGATCCACCCTGGATGTGCAGCAAAAGTCTGCATTAGGTATCCCTCCTGCTCAGGCTCCACCTTGGAACTCAAGTGACTTCAGGAGCATCCAATACAAAGTCCCTTTTGTGCCACCACAACGCGCTTGTGCTTGAGTTTGGGTGATTTTCCTTGTGACTCGTGTGGTTGGGAAAACTCCTGCCTGGACTGCTTTCTAGAGTGGGCTTCACCCCTTGCAGGAGCAGCCCAGGCCTTACCTGTCTGCCCTTTGTCCGGTGTTACCAGCTAGGGATGTGAAGGACATTCCTGTTCTCCCTGGCCAGTCATTCACCTACAGCTGGAGGGTCACAACTGAGGATGGACCAACACAGGCAGATCCTCGCTGCCTCACACGTTTCTACTACAGCTCCATCAACCCGACTCGCGACATGGCCTCAGGCCTCATCGGGCCCCTCTTGATCTGCTCTAAGAAATCCATGGATCAAAGGGGAAATCAGGTGGGTCCTTCCAGGTGTGGCAGACAGAGCATCTCGTTTCCTCTGAGATGTGGGTGCTCTGGCATCTCAACTGCCAGGCTGAGATAACTGCGGTGGGTGGAATTTTTTGGCTAAACTGAATCTGTCTTTTCCTGCCTTCTTCAGCCCCATCTTAATTCCCAACTCCTTTGCCTTCCCCATCTTTCTTTCCATGGTCCCTTCTCTCCAAATATGGATCTAGCCCCTCTGAGAGAGCAGTAAAGCACTTCTGCTGGGACCTGTGGGCCTCTCTCATTACTCCTTTCCTCTCTGCCTCCTAGATCATGTCAGATGAGACGAGGTTGGTGCTGTTTTCGATTTTTGATGAGAATCGCAGCTGGTACCTGTCGGAGAACATCCAGCGGTTCTGCACGGACCCAGCCCACGTGGACACTCAGGACCCTCAGTTCTACGCCTCCAATGTGATGCACAGTGAGTGCCCGAGCCAGATGGTCCCCACAAAAACCTCCATCTCCGCTCCAGGGCACAGGCATCTCTTCCTTCTGAGGGCGGGTGATGACCCAAAGCCCCACACACTTGCCCAAGCCACCCCTCACGCACAGTGAACCAGCAGGGAACACGCAGCAATGCAGCAATCATGGGAGAGCTGAGTCCTGTTGAAGTGTCTCACCCTGCTCCTCTTTTCCAGCTATTAATGGCTTTGTTTTTGACAACCTCCAACTGAACCTCTGCCTGAATGAAGTTGTGTACTGGTATGTCCTAAGTGTCGGGGCCCAGACAGACTTCCTCTCTGTCTTCTTCACTGGGAACACATTCAAACGCAACATGGTCTTTGAGGATGTGCTTACCCTTTTCCCATTTTCTGGAGAAACGGTCTTCATGAGTTTGGAAAAGCCAGGTTAGTAACAGTGACTGTTCTGCAAATCTACAGGCTGGGGATCATAAGATGGATAAGTGGCATCTTTGGTCATGGTGATGCTGGGCTCTAGCAGCCGATCATCTTTCTGTTAGCAAAGGAACAATGATGAGTGTGATGGTGAAATGGGAAATTGAAAGGCAATGCTTAAAATCCCCATAAGGTTTAAACTGAGGAAATGTCTTAAATTACTTAAATTAACTCATAATTAGGGTGTCTTAAGGACCAGGCAGTGGGAAGCTGATAACCTTGCTGTAGTAACCTGAGCCCCATGGACCTCGTGCCTGCGTGTCCTTGGCTTGGAGACGGAGCGGAGCAGCAGCACTGTCCTCACGTGGGTTCAGCACGGCTTGTGGCTGGATTGCAGATGCCAGTGTGCTGGCCATGTGTCTATTCAAGTCTAAGCCTTCTCTGCCCCACAGCTGCGGGACCAGCCAACATGGTTTCTAGACAGACTAGGTGCTCTTCTGAATCCCAGCCAAACATTTCATCCGCTTGAGCTCTGGTTTTGCTCGCTGATAAAAGCTAAGCAAGCAGCTCTGCTAGCAGGAGATGACAGCTCACTCCAGTGTCAGAGCCTGGTCATTACATCCCTCCTCATCCTCTCTCGTCGCCTGCGGAAGAGGCTCTGGGTGTTGACTGAGGATGTGAGCAAGAGGCTGGATATTCCTTTCATTTTCCCCGAGTGGGAAAGACGTGATGACTGGGTCTGAGAGAGGAGTATATTTGGCAGCCCAGGATATATTTGGATGATGGTGATTACGCTGCTGCTGGGAATGAGCCTGGAGGCACTGCTGGGTCTCAGTGTATTGACTGTCTCTTGCCAAGCTGTTGTGGTGGCCTTGCAGGTGCACATAGCTCTCTGCTGACCCTGCTAGCATTTCTTGTCAGGATCATTTCTAATGTTGCCAGCAACCCTGATGGTTTGTGAGCCTGGATGGAAGATATTTTATGGATTATGAGAACAGGAAATCACTAGCACGAATCAAAGGCTGCTGTAGAGGGCAGGATGCACTAGCAAGGGAATGCCGTGGGAGTGGTAGCTCTCCCGATTTCCCAGCACAACGGGCTCATGATGTCCCCTTGTCCTTCCCCGAGACAGGTGTCTGGATGCTGGGCTGCCTGAACCCGGATTTCAGAGACCGAGGGATGCATGCCAAGTTTACAGTCACTCAGTGCCGGACTGAACAGTATCCTGATGGGGAGGATTACCCAGATTATGAGGAAGAGGACACCGTCATATTACAACCCAGGGGCTTCTCTAAAAGAAAAAGGCAGCACAGGCCATGTGTGAATAAGCAACCAAACATCATTTCTTCAAGCAGTGAGACAGAGAAACCAAGACTGTGCTCAGCAGAACCCATCCATGGAGCCCTGATGAGTGATGGAAGTAATTCTGACCATGCTTCAAATGGCACGTCAATATTTTCAGGAACAGCCCCAGGTGATATCTCTATGTCCTCTTTGCCAGAGGCAAACTATGACCCAGTGTCTTATGAGTCCTTCCTGGAAGATGAAGACTTATCAAAAGCCAACAGCCAGGTTCAAGGATTTGGGACTGTCCCACCTGGAGAAAGCTCAGCGAGTGTCAGTGCTGTGAGCTCAGAAACAGGTCAGCAATGGCTGCACCAAGCCACACAGACTCCAGAAAATGCTCTAGCGGGAGAGAAAGTGACGAAAAGCTCAGAAATACAGGATCCAGTAAAAGGGATGATGATCCAGACTGCTAGTACATTACAGCTCCTGGAAGCAGAGACTCCACCAACTCTTCAGTTGGGAGAGCAGAAGGTGTCACATGCAGTAGGCTCGTCAGAAATGATATCTGCTGCTGCCAGCAGAGATCCTCTTATAGAGGACAGGAGCTCAATCCATCCAAGTGACCTGGAGCACAACCCAGCATTTCAAGGCATGTCTTCACAGAGTGCTGAAGATGGGTCACTGAAAGGGGCAGATAAAATATCCTTAAATCTATTCAATTCAAGGGAAACAATCAATGGAGAACTGACCTTAAGTACTGACAGTAATTCTTCTCTCACACTGGCTAATCCTTCAGTATCTTCAGACAAAAGAGAAGATAACAGGACTTCTCAAGCTGTAGGCCAGAGTAGCACTGAAGGAAGCAATCATTCTTCAAAGGAGCTAGATGCTAGGCTAGAAAAAAGACCTCCTGAAGTGGTTTCACAAGTCTTTTCTCAAGCTTTTAAAGTGACCAATGGTTCTTTGTCAACTGTGGGACCCAACAAATCTGTACAAGGTCAAATCTTCCCAGAGGAGAGTAACTCCTTGCCTGCAAAAAGTGCCCCTGAAGTAGAAGCCAGTAAATCTGCCAAAAGCTCAAGCCTGCTGGAAGCTGCCTTTGTGCAAAGTAATGACCTCGAGCCTTCTGGTCGTGTCATGACAGAAGAGACAGATGAATTAATTCTGGATGCAGTTTTTCAGGATGCTATAGAGGCCAAGGAGTTGCCAGAGATGAACGATCATGCCTTCCCCAAGTCAAATGTCGCGACCAATGAGACAGGGCACTCACAAAATGCTTTCTTACAAAGCCAGGAAAGGTTTAGGCACCGAGCTCCAGTGCTGAGCTTGGGTGATCCTGCTCCGAGGCACCGAGAAGCCAGGTCAGCGGAGAGCAAGGAGGAGATTCCTGCCCCAGGGACACTGCCGTGGCCGGAGGCGACAGGGTTGATGCCTGCTCCAGAGGCCGGATCACCTGGCAGCAGAGAAGGTGACAAAGTGGAGCAGGATCTGTCTGGCCAGACATCTGAGATGCTGCATTCTAAGGGGTGGTTAAACCCAGGTAGGGGCACCCTGAGCAGCAGCGAGGGGGCTCAGCCCAACACGAGCTCCTTCCTCATGCTGGGAACACCAATGACCGAGAGGGCAACTGCTGGCAGCAGCTCAGAAATGAAGACCGGAGACCCGGCCTCAAACTGGGACCCAGTCCCTCCTGGGACAGTGCAAGGCAAGGAGAGCCCCACGTTACCTGAGTGGCAGCGGGGCAGGGATGAGGTCCAGAGGGCTCCTTGGAGGGAGCAGACTCAGAACAGGAGCCTAATAGAGGAGGAGACAAATTCCGTGGAGCAGCAAGGTCAGGAAAGAAGCTGGTTGAGCGCCCGGCCTCGGCTAGATGAGGCCAGTGCTGAGCAGGGCTATGTGCCTGGGAGCACATCTGGGCAAAGCCCAGCAGAAAACCCTGCAAACCTGACCTCCACCAAGAACCATTCCCTGTCCCCAGCTGACCCCACTCCCAACCGTCCTGCTAATGGGAAACTACACAATCCTCCTACACAAGGCAGTTCGGATGCATGGCAGGTGCTTGGAGGAGACAATGTCCTTGGACAATCTGGGAAGGGAAAGGGCCAGGGCCTGGAAGGCCCTGAGGAGGATGGGGAGAGCAGCAGCGTGGCTGAGAAGAGGAGCCATGCCCCAGACCACCTGGAGAGCCCTGCTCTAAACAGCAGGACTCCTTCCAGCACCTCAAGGCCGAAGACTACCAAGTCAGACTATGACGAGTACGGTGACACCGAGCAGACCATGGAGGACTTTGACATCTACGAGGAAGAAGAGCACGACCCACGTTCCTTCCAGGGAGAGATCAGGCAGTATTTCATTGCAGCAGTCGAGGTGATGTGGGAATATGAGAATCAGAGACCGCAGCACTTCCTGAAAGCCTCGTAAGTGCCCCTGGCCCCTGTGCATTTCCCTAGCACTGGATTGCATGGCTTGATGTGTGAGACGAGGGCTCCTGGCCAGTGGGATCACAGCTCTGGGCAATGCGACTGGTGGAAGGATGCTCCCAGAGCCATCTCTCCACACAGAGGTTTTTCTATCTTGTAACCCTGGACTTCCTTGCAAATGGACCAGAGATCCTCTAGGGTCTGGCCAGCAGTCCCACTTTGCTGGTTGATCAGATCTGCCCCAATCACTCCCAGAAACCGCTCAGCTTTCCAGCCAGTTCAAGGGCTCTCCCTGGGCACCCGTGAGAACGGTCCAGTTGCTCCTGCGTGCACCATGCAGCCCAGGCTTTGCAGGAACCCCCATGTTCAAGTCCATGTTTGGGCCATCATGGATTACTGTCCAAAGTGCTCCTGGAGGAAGAAGCAAGCCTGGAGCTGTGCTGGACAGGGGCTGGACAGGGAGCTGTGCAGGCTTTGTACAGGGGCACGTGGCTTTACCCTGGGGTCCCAGCCCAGCCCTGCCATACTGTCCTCCCTCAACTGGAGCATCTCAGCCTGCATCACCTCCCTCATCCCCACAGGGAACCCTCGCATGGCAGGAGGAAGCCTTTCCGGCAGTACCGCAAGGTGGTTTTCCGAGAGTACTTGGACAACTACTTCACCCAGCCGCTGATGCGTGGGGAGCTGGATGAGCACTTGGGCATCCTGGGGCCGTACATCAGAGCAGAAGTTGAAGATGTCATCATGGTGAGTTGAAAATCCTCATTCCCTATAAACCCTGATGTGTCTTCCCTTTCCCTCCCACCTCTGCTAGCCTGTGGGCCCTCTGGTTCCTGGGAATTCATCCCAAGGGCTTGAGGGGTGGGAGCTGCACCAGGTCAGAAGGAGGGTCACCATCCTGAGGGACCTCAGCAGCTGTAGAACAGGCCAACAGGGTGTTTGGCAAAGGCAGCTGCAAAGCCCTGTGTTTGAGACAGACCCATCCTCTGCACCAGCGCAGCCCAGACAGCTCCTGGGCTCTGCCACCTTTTAGGTAAAGAGTTTGTGAAATGAGGACCGAGCCAAGCAGGGCTGAGCACAGTTCCTTCAGGGGCCCTGTGTGAGAGCAGAATCTGGCTTCACTTACCACCAACGGTCCTTCAGGATCAACCCTAGGACCATGTGAAGGGCTCCTGATTCGGCTTAGGACTTGTATACCTGGGGAAGTTGCCCGGGTTTCACCAATATTTTGCCCAGGATGGGTTCAGCACCTCAGCTGACCTTGGCTCAGCTCTGGTGAGCTCCCACTGAGCCAAAGGAGAGCCTCTTTCTGCTGCCATGTCTCAGGATCACACTGCACAGACACAGGTTGGGGTCCATCAGCAGCTGGCCGAGGCATGGGGTCCAGCTGTGGATCTGGGCACCAAAGACACCTCTACCTTCTTCCCACCAACTCTCTGGGACTGGATCCAAGCCCTGCCCTGTGGACCAGGGCTCTCTAAGAGCTGTGCCTAGGTCTGTCCATGTTCCTCCAGCTTCATTTTCACTTTGGCACAGGTTACGTTCAAGAATCTGGCCTCGCGGCCCTTCTCCTTCCACTCCACGCTGCAGGCCTACGAGGAGACGCACGGCGCGGTGCCGGGCCAGGAGGCAGTGCAGCCCGGCGAGCTCCGGCAGTATTCCTGGAAAGTGCTGCCCCAGATGGCCCCCACCACCCAGGAGTTCGACTGCAAGGCCTGGGCTTATTTCTCCAACATGGACCTGGTGGGTGGGAACTTGTGCCATGGGGCACTGCTGGGGAGACTGGACAGTCTGGCTTTGGGGGTCAGGGCTTTTCCTATAGCGGTGTGCCCAAAACAGCTCTTGGCCATGTGGATTCTCAGGTGTCTAATATGGTGATGCCTTCCCTTTCCCTGTTTGTGTTTCTTCCCTTTCCCTAGTTCCCAATCTTTGTGAGACTTGTAGCAAATGAACATTCTTGGGTCCTTTTCCCCTCTGTCAAATCTGGTTGAATTTGGCCTTTGGGATCCAATATTAGTAGCTCAGGCACTGTTGGGCAGTTGGCTGGTTGCGCGGGTGGCATTTCCTCCAAAATCAGGTGAAAACACTCCTTGTGCAGCCCTTTTTAGCTGGGACAGAGAGGACATCCCCCAGTGAAGCCCAACATGTCCCTGTCAGCTTGCTCAGGCCAGGCTCTGTACACAGGGCAGTTATGGTGGGAGCTGGGACACACAGGAGACCACCACTGTCCCCACCTCTGAGTCAAATCTCTCTCCCTGGCTTCCCGGCAGGAGAAGGATCTTCACTCTGGCCTCATCGGGCCCCTGATCATCTGCCGCCATGGGGTGCTGAGCTCCCTGTTCAGGCGGCAGTTGGCGGTGCAGGAGTTCTCGCTGCTCTTCACCATCTTCGACGAGACCAAGAGCTGGTACTTCCAGGAGAACATGGAGAGGAACTGCCGCCCACCGTGCCGCATCCAACAGGACAACCTTGACTTCAGGAGAAACCATTCCTTCCACGGTGAGGATCCTTTCCCCTTTCTCTCCCATTCCAGGGTCTATGCTGGGAAAGCGGGTGCTCAGGGTCACCAAGCTGTCCCATGAGCCGCTTGTTGCTGACCGCTGCCTTCCCTCTAGCCATCAACGGCTACGTGAGGGACTCGCTGCCCGGACTGGTCATGGCTCAGCAGCAGCGGGTCCGGTGGCACCTCCTGAACATGGGCAGCACAGAGGACATCCACTCCGTCCATTTCCACGGGCAGCTCTTCAGTGTCAGGACCAACCAGGAGTATCGTATGGGAGTCTACAACCTCTATCCTGGTGAGAACTGTGAACTGGGAACCTCTATCCCATTGGAAATGGGCAGCCACCGTACACACCATGGCTCCATGCCCATTAGAGTGTGCCAAGCCTGGGGGTCAGAGCTAGGATGGGGAAATGGATCTGGAAGAGCCTAGCTCTGCATTTGCACCATGACGTCTTGTTATGGCCGGTAACTGCCCCTTGCTCTGCTCTCCTGTCTCGGCCAGGTGTCTTCGGGACTGTGGAGATGTGGCCCACGCATGCCGGGATCTGGCGGGTGGAATGCAAAGTGGGAGAGCACCAGCAAGCCGGGATGAGCGCCCTGTTCCTCGTGTACAACCTGAGTGAGTGACCCCGTTGGTGCTCGGTCTTGCCCAAGGAGTGAAGGCAGAGTGGCTAGACCCCCACAACACCACATGTTTTCAAGGGACACCCAAACTCCCCTGCCCCCAGGGCTCTCAGTTCTCCCTGGGAAACCTTTTACTCAACACATTTGTCCCTCACTTGAAGTAAACATGGGAGGAAACAGTTTGTGAGACTGACATTTTATCTCACTCAACTCTCAAGAGGAGACAGACTCTCTCTTCTTCCTAAAGGAGCTTGAAATGTCAGCCAGAAAATATTTCCAGAAGTTAAAAAAATCTGCTTAAAATTTCAAATCCACAATTTTCCCAGAAATGTTTGCCATATGGCAATGATGCCAAGACATGGGATCTCTGAAAATAATAGTCACTATAAGAGAGAAACAGTCCAGTGCTCAGGAGATCCGAAAAGAAGCATTGAAGGACAGGGGTGTCAGGCAGGCTTCCCTCTAACATGATATTTGTTTAAAAAGAGCTGCCTAGCAACAAACAGGCCCGAAGCAAGAGGTGGGAATGGGAGACACTTGTCAACATAGCTGGGAGATGAGGACATGGGGGTGGGAGATCAGGGTCATGGGGACAGGAAGACATAGCACCAGCCTGGCCAGAGGCTGCTGGCACTGGGCGCATAAGCCGGGATGTGCAACAGCCCTAAAATGCAAGGATGGATGGGGAGGCATCCCAAACCCAATGCATGGTGTAAGACCAAAAGGCCTGGGGGACTTCTGGGGGGCCTGAGATAGCTGACCTTTCCTTCTGACAGCTTCCTTATGTAACAAACCCTCCCTGATTTTCCCCATGCCTCTCCCGCTTGGTTGCAGACTGCTGCAGTGCCCTTGGCCTGGCCTCCGGCCACATTGCAGACTCGCAGGTGACGGCGTCGGGGCAGTACGGTGAGCATGGGGCGCTGCGGCAGGACCAAGGCTGAGCTTGGGGCAGGTTCTGCCAACGCAGCTCCGGTGATTTCCCTAGTACACGGGGCTCCCCGGGAGGGTCATTCTCCAATCCGCACCCATGTCAGGATCCCCACTGGGACCTGGAGATGTCCTGTCTGGTCCATCTTGTCCAGTACATGACTAACCTCCAGGTGAGCAGAGATGCTCAGGCCATGTTGTTGGCTGTGCCTGCCTTGCCTCTCGCTCCTCCATGGATGAACTTCCCACCACCTTGGGCCAACCAGCACCAAGAATGAGACGGGGCCAGCAGCACCCTCTTACCTCCCGTGTGTTCTCCTTGCAGGGCAGTGGGCCCCTCACTTGGCCAGGCTGGATAACACCGGCGCCATCAATGCGTGGAGCAGCGACCGCACCAACGCCTCGATCCAGGTAAGAGCTGCTGCCCTGGCAGGAGCCAACGAGATGGGCGGAAGGACCGGACACAGGGCTAGTGCCATGCAAAGCCTCCCCAGCAAAGTCCTACTCGCCCTTTGGGGAATAGTAGTTAATAATAAAGATCCTCATGATTGTCAACCTGGCCGTTGCCAGCCAGCCCGACCACCCTACCCATCCTGAGTGCAGCAAAGGAGCTACCCCAATGGTCCAGGTGCTGCAGAGGAGTGGGAAATGATGCCCCAAAGGACAAGTGAGAACAGCTCAACTCTAAGAAAGAGCTCTCCCCTGTTCTCTCTCAACTATCAGTTGACTTGTGCCCTTGTAAACTACCATTTTAACTAGTTTCATTGCCTGTACTCAGTTACATCATAAGGAAGTAAGTTCTGTGGGTTTACAATGAACTGCCTAAATGTGAGTTATTATTCCCTGTGTTTGGTTCCCAGGTGTTGTGGGTTTACAATGAACTGCCTAGTGAATCATTATTCCCTGTGTTTGGTTCCCAGGTGGATCTTTTACATCCCATGATCATTCATGGCATAAAAACCCAAGGGGCCCGACAAAAATTCTCCAGTCTCTACGTCTCCCAGTTTGTGGTCTTCTACAGCCTTGATGGGCAGAGGTGGAAGAAGTACAAAGGGAACACTTCCAACACCCAGATGGTGAGATGAACAGGCCTTGAGAAAGATGATATCTTCCCAAAACAGGGTCTCTGGGGGTGACAAGTTCTGGGAAGCTCCATACATGGGATTTAGATTTCCTTGAGCCCTGCGGATGCTGAAGTAGAGTAGAAAGTGTCACTGCTGGGAGGACCAAGTTGTAGCTCAGATCTGCAAGGAGCTTTTTCTCTGTCTGTCTCATTTTACATGAACTGACTGCTTTCTTTCCATGATCACCTGTGGCTATGAGATCCACCACTTAACAATACAATGCATAATTATTTAGAGCTAGAGAATAGATTTTGCAGAAAACAAAACAAAACAAAACATAACCTGAATATTCATAAACTGATCATTTCGGCAGGAGAAGTATCCATAAAAGTCTAAGAATTCTCCAACAACAGTGGTCAAAACATTTCTCGGGTTCAAAAGGCCTCAGATGGATACCATTTTATTTTTAGCTTGGTGATTTAAAAAAAAAAAACGTTAATTTGGGTGGACTCTTAAGTTTCTCCCCTTCCTGTTTCTTAGTGGCTCACCCTGATTGGGCCCCACACATTTCACTCAGTTACCACTGAGGTGACTTCCAAGAGCTGTTGCTCTCCTGTAAAGACGGCAGCAAATGTTAAAAGTGTCCAACTAAAGTGTCTTTGTCCCTGCTAGCCCTTGTCCTGTTCAGGTCTCTTTCCACTGATACCACGGTCCCTTCTCTCCCTTTTCCTGCAGTTCTTCTTTGCAAACGTGGATGCTACTGGAGTGAAAGAAAATCGCTTCAGCCCTCCCATCATAGCCCGGTACATTCGCATCAGCCCCACTCACTACAACATCCGGGCCACGCTGCGCATGGAGCTCATGGGCTGCGACCTGAACAGTACGTCCCCCCCAGAGGCACTTTGTGACACCAGGAGTCCAAGCCAACACCTGATCCACGTCTTTTGTCACCCCTCAGCACAAGATGGGCTGGAGATAGGGGCAAGGAGGAAGCTGGAGATAGGAATGAGATGTAGGAAATGCTGGAAAATCTCATTATGGGCTTGGAGATATCACCATCCCAGCTTTGCATGGCTGAGAGCTTAGAATGATTCCTCATGCCTGTGGCATCCAGGTTCTCCATATATCCTGGCAGATGCACAACTTCTTCAAATTGCTCTAAGATAAAATCCCCAAGGAGAAAAGAACCTGGGACCAGTGGCAGGCGGAGCTGGGGATGCCCTAGGCAGACCCATGTCAGATACAAGAGCCCTGAACAACACAGGGACCATGAGACCAGCAAGGCACAGGAGATGCTGCTCGCAGGGAAAGTGCATACAGGGCAACTGGCTCATGGGCCACCAGGATGCATCTCCTCGATGGATATGGTCCATGGTCCTCCCTGACAAGCATCGTTCCCTCTCTTCCAGGCTGCTCCATGCCCCTTGGGATGGAGAATGGTGGCATCCCCGACCAGCGCATCTCAGCGTCTTCCTACAGCACCAGTGTCCTCTCCAGCTGGTCGCCCTCCCAGGCCCGCCTGAACCGCCAGGGCAGGACCAATGCCTGGAGGCCCAAGGTAGCCCAGGCAGCGTCCCCACAGGCAGGCTGGGCACCCCCAGCCTCTCCTGGGTCAGCAGCTGTCCAGCAGACAAGGGGGGACCTGTCTAGAGGACATCTGTGGTGTTGGGCTCTGGGCCATCATTCGCACCCTGGCAGGACTGAGACATGGATAATATGGGCCAGGGCTGTTCCCGGGGGACAAGGTGGTCCTGGGCTATAGCGGGAACATGGGAGGGGAGTTATTGGGTAGCAGCTCAGCGCAGACACAGGACGGGGCAGGGAAGCCCAGCATGGTCTGCAGGGTCAGCTTGGCTCCAAGCATGGAGCATTCCCATCTTCTGGCTCCTGGCAATGTTGCCAAGCGCTGTGTGTCCCCGCCAGGCCAACAGCCCCAGCGAGTGGCTGCAGGTGGACTTTGAAGTGACCAAGAAGGTGACAGCCATCATAACCCAGGGCGCCAGGGCCATCTTCACCAACATGTTTGTGAAGGAGTTCGCTGTCTCCAGCAGCCAGGACGGCGTGCGCTGGACCCCGCTCCTGCAGGATGGCAAAGAGAAGGTCAGAGGCAGCCCCGGGTCCCACTGCAGCCCCTGGGCACCCGCCTTTGCAGCAAGCATGGGACGGGTTTTTGCAAGAGCATGGAGCTCTTGCAAAAGGGAACCAAATTCTCTGCTCTTTCCAGATTTTTCAGGCAAACAAGGATCACACAGGCACGATGATGAACACCCTGGAGCCCCCGCTTTTCGCCCGCTACGTGAGGATCCACCCCCGCCAGTGGCACAACCACATCGCCCTGCGGACAGAGTTCCTCGGCTGCGACACACAGCAGGAGTACTGAGGCTGCGGGCACGGGCACCGCCAGCCTGATGTCCCCCACCTGGCCACAAACTACGCTCCTGGGACCGGGGCCACCGCCACGAGCAGCCCCACAAGGACCCCACACCATGTGGCTCTGGTGCCATCGCCACCAGTCCCTCCATGTGCCTGGCTCTGGCCACGCTGCCAGCAAGGAGAGGGTCTGCAGAGCTGTGAGGTGGGCAGCAGGGTGTCACCAGTCTGTCACACACAACCTGCCATATAATCAGACACGATGCTGAAGAATTAAACTGTAATTTTCCAGTGTCTCTCGCACTCTCTGCTTTCCCCCCTGCACACCTCCAGCTTTGAAGTCTCTGGGGGCTCCAAGTCAGCATTACCAGCAGCTAATAATTAATTAGCCTCAGAGGCTCCGCAGTATTTCCCGGTGCCTGGCAGAGCCCTGGAGGAGCCGTAGCAGCGATAAGGGCCAGGGCGGGCGGCCCTGCCATCCCCCCAGGCACATTTTGCAATCGTGGGGATCTGGGCCTGAGTCAGCACTGGGCTCTGGCCCCACTTCCCTTTTGTCTCCGTGCCCTCCTGCTCTTGCCTCATGTCACCGCTCGGCTTTTCCCGGCTGTCTCCAGCCAAGCCCTCCCTGCTCATTCACCTGTGTTGCTCCTGGTGTTCCAGGGGGATTTTGCCAGCTGTGCATTCAGCCCTTCCATGTTCCCATCCCTGTAAACAGTGAGGGTGACAGCACCTCTTTGATTGCCCCCCACCACACACACACCTTTTCAGCACTTTCTCAAGGCGGGAGGACCCCAAAGGGCCACCGAAGCCCCAGCAGGGCTGGCAGGTGGCCCTTTGTCCAGTGATGGCCACTGGACACTGTGGTGGCAGAGCCCCTCTCTGAAGGACCCTTGGGCTGGCATCAGCAGCCTCCTCTGCCCTCCTGGTCACAGGGACCTCCCAAAGTGACTGCGACCTCAGAAAGCCCCGGAGCTCCCTGCAGGCTCCAGAACCAGGCCGTTCCCAAGGACCCGTGTCAGGGAGAGAGCCCCAGTGTCTCCTCTGGGGTGGCCGTGTTGCTGTCCCTGAGGCTCCACAGTCCTGTCTCCCCTGTACCGTGAGTCCTGGGGGACAGCGGGAGGGTGATGTTAATCAGCTCTCTGGGGGACACTGTCTTGCCAGGGTGTCCCTATGTTCTCCACCCTGCTGGAGAATGGGACTTCCCTGCTCCTGGCCCAGCTGCCAGGCTCGCGGCAGCAGCGCAGGGGACGCGCCGTGTCCTCGGGGACCCTCGGCTGCTCTCGGCAGCGCGCACGGATGCTCTGTCTGCAGCTCCATCCGGAGGAAGTGCAGAGCCCCCGGGAAGGGCACGCAGCAGACGGCAGTAACTGGTGCTTCCAATGACGATGCAGGGCTGAGAAGCCACCGCCTGGCTCCACATTGCTGTACAAGGAGCCTTTGCAGCGGCCCTGGTGACAATTACATTACAGCCCCAAGCAGCAGATGCAATTAGCCTTGGGCTTAATTGCGTTCTGACAATAACCAGGAGCAGCTGAGAGCGGAGGGAGCCAGGGCCTGTCCCCGCCTGGGGCAGGGCGGATGCTGCCATCGGAGCGTCCTGGAGCCAGGGGAAAGGTCTCATCTCCAGCTGGGAGGACGAGGCTCCTCCTGCTCCAGAACAAGCTGCTCTGCTGAGCTGAGGAAAGGCTCAGGAAGGGAAAGCCAAAGACCCAGGCCCAGGATGGGATTGGAGGAAGAGCTCAGCACCAGTGAGCGCTGCGGGATGCTCTCCCGTGCCAGAGCTGGAAACACGGATGCATCCCAGCGAAAGGGCTGTGCTGAGCCCTGGAGAGCTCCTGGAAACCCCCCGGGGGGGGGGGGTGTGCGGGTGCCAGTGCCTGCCGAGCCCCGGCATTCATGACCACCAGTGTCTCCTGACATTTGTCTTTTGGGAAATGGAGACCAGGCGCTGCTTCCTCCCGGTGTGACACCCCTTGCAGATGCACCACGGCCCCCCCGAGCCAGAGCCAGCTGAGGCAGCAGAAGGGCCAGGTTCTCCAAGCAGCCCACCTCGGTTTCCCTGTATTCCCAGGCGGGAATGAACAGACTCCCTCCTTTTGTCTGCCAGATGTCTTTTTGTGCATGTTTCCTCCCACGATTTATGCTGAGGTTAGCGGCAGGGCTTCCGCTTGCTCTCCAGATTTCTGCTCTCCTGCACCGCTTTTGCAGCACCCAAGCAGCGGGCAGCCAAGGCTTCCTGCTGGAGGAGGTTGGCCTCAGCGGAGGGCATTTCTGAGCCCTGCCAAGGACTCAGACTCCCACCCATCTCCCCGTCTCTCCAGGATGCCCAGCTGGGCATGCCAGGGCTCTCAGGTGGCCTCACCACTAGGGAAGGGCGATCTGAAGCCTAGTTCATTGCTCCTCACTATGATCCGACTTTCCAGGGATCCCGGTGGAC